TTAATCAAAATTAATAATAATTAATTATAGTAATTAATTAAAAATAATAATTAAATTAATTAGAATTAATTAAAAGTAATTATATTAATAAAAAATAAACATTTTTCTCAAATCCCTTGATCCAGCGGAATTACGGGATTTGGCCGAGCAGTGTGTGCAAGGGAGAGGTCTACCTTCACTGCCAGCAAGCTACAGCTCTTGCTTTCGATCAAACTGTCGCAACTTCCGGTGCGACGGCAAGGGAACAACGTCGACAGAGCAAAGCCGAACCTCCACAGAGGAGCCAATGCTTCACTGTCCGCGAGCTCCTATGGTTGCTTCCGATCAAAAATGTCGTAACTTCTAATTCGATCAAAAGGGAAATCGTGGACGGAGCGAAGTCAGACAGCGGCAGAGGGGCGACGGGTTGGCCGCGAGAAGGCTCTAGGTTGGTGGTTCTCTCCCTCTCTCTCTCTCTCTCTTTCTCTCTCACGGGATCCGGCCGAAGAGATGCAGGAAGGGAGAAAGTTAACTTCACAGAGAGCGAGCTCCCCTTTGCGGTTGCCGATCAAAATGTTGTGACTTCTGATCCCGACAGGAAGGGAAAGTCGTCGAATGGAGAGAAGTCGAACAGCGGTGATGGAGCCGGAGAAGCCGCACAAAATGGATAAGGTTAACCTCATATTCGGCGAGTTCCAGTTCTTGCTCCCGATCAAAGTGTCGTAGTCTCTGACCCTTCACAGTCCGGCGAGATCCCGTCGTTGCTTGCGATCAAATTGTCGTAATTTTCGGTCCGACAGCAGGAGAACGTCGTCGAAGCAGCGAAGTCAGACCAGCCACGAAGGAGACGAAGAGGAGGCGAGCTTCGTTTCTTGCTTCCGATCAAAGTTCGTCACTTCCGATCCAATTGGAAGCGTCGTCGGAGGAGAGGAGTCGGATTGTGGAAGAAGCCGAAAGTTTCATCGCTTTGGGCTTTTAACGACTCGAATGAGTCGTGCGGGGTGGGAAGAAACGACGGGTCGCTAGATTTACGGGATTTGAGCGGCGACGACGTGCGATCGTCGTGCAGATGTCGGGCAGATAAAAAAAAAATTATTTTGTTTAGACTGCCGTATACAGGTCAACAGGGTCTGAATCTATCTAGATTGAGTCAACTCAAACTTATTAACACACCTAAAGTTTCCAAGTCAAGCCAAATCAAATGAAATTATTCTTTCCAAATTAGATGAAAATATAAAATCAAGTTAGATCAATTAACTTTATGGCCATTAATCAAAATTGTGCTCAAGCCCCATGTGCTAGGTTCAATCGCAATTTGTTTTATGTGCATTCTTCTTTTGCATCATAACATTCATCCACTGAATAAAAGTCATCAAGTTACAAGCCCACTTTCCTTAGTAATATAGGACAAAACAGAGACTAGCAAGAGTTTCTTTCAACCAGGAAAAGAAGTAGATGATATATAACACTATATTAATCTCTCATGTTTTGATGTACTGCTATATATTTAACTTGAATTGTTCTTCTTAAAGCTTTTGAGAAATGAACCACTTTTTGTGATCTCTCGCAATGGTTTGTCAGTGTAGCGAATGAGATTATAAGCCCATGTTCCGGCAACCGTCCCACTAATAGGCCCAATCATGTACACCCATATCGACTTATAGCGGTTTGCAATTATTGCAGGTCCCAAAGTCCTTGCAGGGTTCATTGACGCTCCTGATATTGGCCTACATGCATAAAATTACTGAGATTAATAAGTACTTAATTTATAAAAGAGTAAATAATCAATTCATATAATGATAAGAATTGATTGAGTAGTTTTTAAAAGGAGTTATTAATTTTTGACATGTTTCAATTATGAAAGTCAAACATATATAGGAGCCATGAATAGTATGAATTTGTCGTTACCAAACAAAAAATTAATTTTGATATTCTGTAATGTGGGTGTAAAACAAATTTCTCTTCATTTAAAGTTTGGGGTTCGGTCAGTTTCTTGTTGCTTCTTAAAACAGTTTTTTAGTACATAAATTTTTATTTTTGTACTAAAAAGTCATTTTGAAAAGAAATAAGAAAGCCGTCACAAACGAGGCATTAATCCTATGACTCTTGTGGGTGAGACTCTAAGTCAGAGATAGTTGGTTAAAATATATACATGAGATTATGTTGAATAGTCCTTCAAATGGTAAAGTACGATCTTCATATACCAGAGGTAGCTCATATCTAAACTTAAAACCTTCATAGAAGTACATATGGAATATATTTAGCTTGGAATCGCTCTTCTTTTTGGAAAAGATTCACACGTTTGGACCTCTACTTTGAAAATAAATGATTATTGTTCTTGGAGTAGTTTATAATGAAGCTAAAAAAACAAAAAGTTAGAAGTTTGAAATTGCCCACCAAATGCTAAATGATAAAGCATACTACACAGTCAAAGCTATAAAAATATTTGTGACATTCTTACCCAGCAATTGCCACATTTAGCAGCACAGTAGCTCCTACAGCCAGCCCTGCAAGTTCTCCAATCTGCAATCCACCAACAATTGAAATAAACATAAGCCATCACAGTCTGAGACAATATAAACTTCGATCAACTGGCATGCAAATATTTTGTACCTAAATACATTTAAGCATTTTTGCATTCATTTTATTAAGATCTTTTACAGTCAGTAAAGTAGGCTATAAGGGAATGAATATATCACTTACAGCTCGATTATCCGTCGCAACTCCAGATATCACAAACATGAGGTAGAAGGAGATGATGAACTCCATGAATAAAGACTGAACATCGGAGCCTGCCGGAATCGTCCCAGCGAAGAGCTCCCGGTGACCGCCAAAGAGAAGGCGGAGCGTTCCGCTTGCTAATATTGATCCCACTATTTGTGCTGCCACATAAGCTGGTACCTGGAACATGATTCTTTCAGCTTATCCGTAGAGACAAATAGACAAGCATCCTCCAACCTTTTGTTTCTCATTTTATTAAGCAGTATATGAGCAGTCAACATATTTGAGAAGGCAATTCAAATCTGAAAACCTTAGTTTGATTCCTTTATACGTTTCTTTATTTATACAGGACTCGAGAAAACTAGTCAGCATACTTATCTACATAAATGTCTTGTATCTGTCAAACACTGTTAAGATTTGTTTGGTATTTTTTTTTTTTTTGCTGCTTTGATTTTTAAATCATTATCATAATTTTGTTTTGAAAAAAATAGCTATTGTTTTAAAAAAATTTAATATAGAGAAAATACTTTATAATCAGAAAACTTTAAAAAATTAATTGTTTTATCTTTCAAAAAGATAAACTCAATAATAGACATAATAGATTTTTTTAAATAAATATGCTTTTGCAACAACATCTAAAGCTTTTCTTATAAACAGCTGCATCCATTCCAAATAGAACATTTGGCTCAATTTGAGACAATTTTTTTATTGTTTTATAAAGCTGTTGTAGAGAAGATAAGTTTTAAAATTATTATAGAAGTAATTTTTTAGTACAAATATTTTTGAAAATAATGATCAAACGAAAATGACGATTATGATCTTAAAAATAGACTAATAAGAAAATTGTCCCAAACGAAGCGTTTTGTTTGGTACAGCTTTCTTACTGCTTTCTAAGTCAATTTGCTAAGCTCATGTTGAACGTTAGCTCCAACTCATTTCAAAACACAAAATAAACTGACCATAAAGTTGCTTATGTAACACGGCTTCTGAATTGCGTAGTGATTTATGGTTACAGACCTGCTTCCATGGAAACCTTCTGCATGACGCAAATGCGATGGTGACGGCGGGATTCAAGTGAGCACCTGAGATATGGCCGACGGCATAGACCATTACAGTCACTGCCAATCCCCACACAATGAATATGCCAGGGAAGGTGACAGTTCCATTGCTTTTCTTGTTCACAGTAACTGCAGCGCAGCCGGCGAATATTAGGAAGAAAGTGCCAAAAACTTCTGCAATTATCTGCAAGAGTACACGATTATTGATGCACTGTTATTTATTCGTTTAATAGGAACATTTTTTATTCATGTCGTTGTGCATATTTTATGAAAATTTTTGCCATAATTTGGGTTAATTTGGTGAGAAAAAAATACTCCTAAAGAAACCGTTTCAGTTAAAGCTGGGGAATTTTCTCAAAGACGACTTTGAACCTTACACTATTTTGCAAGATAATTGTCAGCATAGCTATAAACTAAATTTTATAAAGAAAAAACTGTTAAAATTTGAATCAAAATATTCTGACTAAAATTTTAATTAGGATGGATTAAAGACATTAAATATGTTTTAAAACAAATATAATATATGAGTAAATAATCAATATATATATATATATATATATATATTTGTGTGTGTGTGTAAATTAATCAAGAAATAAATGTAAATATGTCTCAATTATTACAATCAAATTTGACGGCTGAGTTGTTTGCCATTATAAAACTCAATCAATATTTATTACAGACTCTAGCTACTTGTGAGGGTGGTTTTCAAGTTCTACTATTCTAGTTTCTTAGTAGGTTTTAGGCTTAACCTTTAGCAGATACATCCTCTTAATTCGTCTCTCTTTTAACTAAATCAAACAATTTTAAATGCAAACTAAGTCTAATTAAAAATATTTAAAAAAGAAAAGACTCAAAGCTATAAAATAATTTATATAATAAAAACATCACATCTAGAATTTGCTTAGCACTTAAAGTGTCAAGCCCATATTTTAATCTTATTGGCCACATCTCTTGGGGGGTTTAAGCACCACCTATTAGTAAGTATTTTTATTTATTATTTAGTACCCCCCTGGATAAGGTCACGTATAAGAAGAGCATATATATATATATA